CCGCCTTTCAATTAACACCAGAATTATTAATTTGAAACCAGTTTACCTCAAGTGGATTTTCAGGTTGTAAATAATGCCTCAAGAAGAAGTATTGTTCATCCTTATTCGGGCATCTGCATGGACACCGTGTTCAACAATCAAAGGTAATCCCATGAGATCGTGATGGTATGAAATAAAAGAAAAGAAGATAGAACAAGAAACAGAAAACATACGAACTGTAGTCGCATTCATAGCCTGCATATTCATTGAAGTGATTCCCAATGTCGAAGCCTCTATAATTGTATGATCCGTACTCAAAATCGATGAAGTAGAGTTTATCTGGAAACTCATCAGAAAAATCAATTAAGTGGAAGGAAAAAAGTGGAAAACAATATTACTTTCATTTTATAAAGTTATGAAACGAAAAATTGAATCTATTCTAGCTTTCCCCCCAATGCATGTCCAAATTCTATTTCAAGCACCAGGAACCCAAAACTACCATCACGAAAATCTCATTCTGTTTCATTTCTGACCACCTTGGACATCCAATAACAATGGTGGGCACAGGAAGACGTCATAACCCTAGCCCCTAGGCAACTATCACGAACAGATATTTAGCAGGATTGAATTCTGACTATTCTTTTAACATCATAGGAAGATAAAGTTCTTTTTAGGAGTCAATCATAAGAGACGGTGAAAATAAGTGTGGAATACCTTCTTCGTCATTAACCATTATATTTCCAGAAAGCAAGTCATTGTGAGCGAAAACGACTGGAGCATTAAAACGGTCTGTCAATTCCTGTTCCATTATCAGGAGAAACATCTAGGTAAATATGCACAAAGTACATTAAACAAACAGTATACTAAACCAACACAGAAACAGAAAATGACAATTGGAAACAAACTTTTTGATACAAATAAATATATTCCTTTATCGTTTCATCAACATATCATTGTTAAATCACTTCTGCATTTGCCTTCCACACGTCATTATTATGCCAATTTCTACATACTTTCTAAGTTGATTAGAAGGATAGCCGAGTAAACAATGATGGTGGAGATACCTTGAGCTCAATCATTTCATTGTGAACTTCACTAAATGAAATGGTCTTATAAACTTTCTGCTTCTCATTGTCATCAAATTCAAGAGCAGATGCTGCAATGAGAAGGTGACTCAATCATGAGAAAACTTACATGTATGAACTGATGTTAAAAATTATATGAATTGTAAACCCGCCCATGAAAATCAGGCCACTTCCAGCCACCTAATATCAATTTAGCTAACAAGACTTAGAACATAACATATATGAGGCAGGTAAGACTAAGAGATAACCTTTCTCAAAGAACTTGAACAGGTCAATCCACAACTGAGGTTCCTTGGAACCTGGAATTTCCACTTGATGGAATCTGCGCAGTTCCTTGGCAATATCGGCAGCCAGCTTTGGATTTCTCATGTCTGCCAAGAAGGGAATAAGTTAAAATCATGTCAATGGACAGATTCAGTTCAGCAAGAACCCTGAAAATGCATATGATTTACTTCAACGAAAGTGACCTCCTGTCCCTGAACTTGTATACCAGTTTCAATTGCCTCAAAGGACATTTATTCAAAATGAGAGTTGACCAAGAGATTATCCACTGACCGAATGAGAAAAGATTTTGAAGGGTGGAAGTGGTGGAGTAAAGGGGTGAATTAGTCCATCTGTTTTTTAAGTGTCGTATAAAACCTGAGAACTCTTTATATTGTTTACTTGATTTTCTTGCTTTCCCTTCGAGCTTCTTTAACAAAAAACTTTACTTTAAAAATAACATATAACCGAAGCTACCTGATGGGACTAGTGTACGTGCATTGATAAAAGATTGCACCATCCCATTGGCAAAAACTCCAAGCAAATTTGCACCAAATCCTGCAGCGGAGAGGTATTTGATTGCCTGAAGACAATATGGAGTGAGAATTTACAAAGCAAAGCATACAATTAAAACATCACCAATAAGTAAAGATAAACAATCAGTATAGTCAGAAAGCCATCTCATATAAACATCAACAGAAACACGAATTTATGGCAGTTACATTAAAAAAAAATTGCAAATGGGGCATAATCCAAGTAGACGAAGAAGTACTCAGATCTGCTTTACCTATAAAATAAACTAACCAAAACTTTAAAAGAAAAGGAAATGTGAGAGTTGAGTAAATGAGCAGCCAACCGGACCACAACGGAGACTTATAAAACAACATTACAAAACTTCTCAAAACTACCTGCAGTTCGCGTTCCCTATTGATAACATAATCGGTGTTAGGCCCGTACAACCGCACTGTCACAGACACGGTATTTCCATTCTCTTCCTTCACAGTCACCTTCAGCACTGCATATATCAACGATCACTAACTCAGTTCAGCTCTACACCATAAAACACTCAGAAAAATCGAATGAACAATAACGAACTCAAAGTTTTGTTTTTCGATAACAAATTTTCACATACGATAACTTCTCTTAGCTCATAGAATCCAAAAACAACAAACAAGAAGAAGAACAGCGCTCACATTGATTTGTGATGCCGCCGGAAATTGTCTCCACGGAGAAGAGAGAGTTCTCCAAATTTGACCACTTCTTAAACAGATCCTTGCACAATTCTCTGCAAATTCAATCACATAACACATTAAAATATTAAATTTACTCCTTATAAAGTAGACAAATTAATTAAAAAAAAAAACGAAATTGAATCCATTTTTCATATTTTCCTCTCGTTTCCTGCAATTTCTCATCCACCAAACTGGATTTACAAAAAAATGTATCTATAAATATCAATTATTTATCTGAGCTAAAACAAGTTGCACAAAACGAACTGAAGGCCGTAGAAATTGAGCATATATACATATATAGAGAAAGAGATAGAGGGAGACTGACATGATGAGAGGCGAGATGTGAGAGAGAGGGAGGGAGGGGTCGACGGATGAAGGAAGAAGAATGGATCTGAGAGGTGGAGCAATCTGAAGCTTGCTCAGCTACCTCCATGGCGTTCCAGATGTTCTTCACCGCTCCCATTTCTCTCTGATTTTTTTTTCTTTCTTTTGGCTGAATTTTTTGCTTTAATTTTCAAACGCAACTACTCTTTCCGAATGCACAACCGAAATTTCCAAAGCTCCTGTTTAACCGGGTGATGTGGATTGTGGAATGACCGACTTGGGCTTCCGACAATTTATCTTTTGCCACGTGTGTCCTGTTATATTAGAAGACCGATACGGGGTCCTATCAAGAAAAAGCAAGATCCTATGTGGTCGACTCCGAAAAACAATATCTTATGAGGAATTAGTCGATGACTTGTATAATTTTGTTCAAACGATAAAAAAATTAATATTCAAATTACTTGTATAAATTGGGAACCCATGACTTGTATTAGAAGGAATCAATCGCGCATTGGTTATACAACTCGTATTTAAATTTAATATAGAGATTTGAACTTAATTACAGGGTGAGAAAGTTCGCTATACTCACGTTTGTGAGGAATTAATCGCATTAAAAAAATAAATTTATGGAGAATATATTGCAAAGTTAGGAATATGTATATGTATGAACATTTGGAATTCGTAAACACATCCTAGACTTTATGTGAGGTTCCTAACAAAGAGGAAACCAAATAAATAACAGAAATATATTAATTTATTGATATGAATAATTAATTATAAGTGAGGTGAGCCACTTATAGTTTGCCAAGTGTTGAATTCCGGTTTGCGATTTGGCCTAGTGTTTATTCAATATGACATGTGTCAGTGATAGGTGTTGAACTGGCAATTTGGAAGTATGCGGCGTGGACGACTCATCAAATAGGTAATGTGAAAGGAAATGACTTTAGAAATTTCATAGTATTGGTAGTGTGAACGAAAGAGTTCGTGTTTGAAAGTTTCATCACATTTGGTAATGCGAAAATATTTTAAATAATTTTAGTATTACGAAAGATTCGAATTCAAGTGTATAATTGTAAATATACTATTTTAGTTATCTCGGTTAAAATAAAGTATGCTAATAGATTTATTGTCTATGAAATATTATACTCATAAGCGTTTTTTTACTTGAAATATTAACATGTTAAAAGTTTTATCCAAAACTCAAGTTATTTATGAAAAAACACTTAGAAGTGGTTTTCTCCTAGGCGCTTTAATGCTTTTATATTTTTGTGTCATACCGTGGGAGGATAAAATCTGGTTTCGACTCATGGGCCACTACCAATCATCAAAGGGGAAAGTGTTGTGCAAGTTAAAAAGCCCACATGAAATATACCGACGTAAGGGAACGTGCTTAGATAACTACCCCACTATGGAGGAGAAGTGGGAGAGGGCGATAGGTCGTGGTACTTGTTCCCAAAGCATGCAGTCATATGACAGATGACCACTAAAGAAGTGGGAAAGGAGGATTGGTCGTGATGCTTGATCCTCAAGCATGCAATCCTATAAATAGGGAGAGGAGCCATAGAACAAGGTACGTAATCAGAACCCGAGAAAATCCAGAGAATAGAAAATCAATCGATTGACTTGAGCGTCGGAGTATCTCTTGCAGGTACTACCTGGGCAAGCTACTGAAGAAGACTATTCGGGGGCATCTCTAGCGAAAGATTCGGCGAACGTGAGGATTGTGGTCAACGAATCTATGGAGGCATTTCTTCTTGTGAGAAATCTTGCTCCAACACATACTTAACTAAAAGAGTGGTACTATACACATACTCATTTTTTATCTCCCATACAATTCTCTCAATTTTCGATGTTGGATCAAATGATTTGAAGAATATCAAAAAATAAAAATTAACATAGACTATAAGAAAAGTAAAAATGAGTGTGATAACACCTCTCAACCAAAAAACTTTTGATCGCCGTGTTTGCGCTGCGGGACTTTATGGGTCACGGGCCTCGATTTGTAACAGGCCAAAAAGGACCGAAGCCCAATTACTTTTAGGCTGAAAGGATGAGATAAATCTTGAGTTTTAATTACATCCGGGTCAGAAAGACCCGGATTTCGTACTCGGTAGGAAAATTACTACTTTGAATCAATCACTCCTGTTCTCCCCTCTCAACCGTCTTTTCTCCTCCGCCGAAACCTTCGCCGCTACTCCGCCCCATCGCCTCCACCAACCCTCTCTCACTCTAATTTTTTCTTCCTCTCTCTCTCTCTCTCTCACTCGCTCTCACTCTAGAACTCACACGGTACACAGACGATGCAGAGGCAACTGCTGAAGAAGCTCAGACTGAAACCTCCCAATGGACTCACCCAATTCAACCAACGAGTCCGTACACATTTCTCACTCTCCCAAGCTTACATTCCGGCCGAATCTCTCACTTATAGTTCCATCTGCTTATATCACCATTTATGGGTTTGGTTGTTTTGCAGAGAGAGATGCACAGCAGGAACAAGAAGGCGATGGAGTTGATAGCCAAAGGCTGGAGTGCCCTTAAGGAAGTCGACCGAGTCATCGATTACTGCGAGCTCAACGATCGCCGCCTCATCCCTCTCTTACGGGTAATTTTTAATTTATTTTCTGATGTTAATTGTGTATTTGCTCTAACCCCATCTGTGAATTTGTATTTTTGTTTATGGATTTGGATTTAATTTTTAATTTTTGACGTAAATTATGTATTTTTCTCAAACCCCATTTGTGAATTTTTTTTTTTTTTTTTTTTGTATATGAATTTTATTTATTTATTTTATTTTAAAGTTTTTATTGTTTGAATTTGTATCAGGCAGCAAAGGAGAATTTTGAGTTGGCTTTGGAGGCTGACAATTCGAATACCCATGCCATGTATTGGTTGTCCAAATTGCATTTGAAATACCATGTCCCGGGAGCCTGCAAAGCTATGTAAGTGTGATTTCTCGGAGTTTTAATCGATTCGTTTAGGTGTTTTTCGTGTTGCTTCACTGATGGTGATAGTCTGCATTCCCTACATTACTACACTGTATTGTATTTTAGAGCACCTGGATAAGCATTTGATAAGAAAAAAAAAAAAAAAGGAACAGGAAAAGTAGGTCATGTAACTTATATTTTCGTCTTTTTTGTCATAACAGAGGAGCTGCCTTGTTAGTTGAAGCAGCGGATATGGGTGATCCGGATGCACAGTACGAACTCGGTTGTCATCTTAGAGTTGATGTAAGAATTCTAAGAAGTTTGTACTTGAAGTATAGAAGTTTTGTATTTATTTATTTATTTTTGGTATGGATCAGTTTAGCTTTCTTAACGATAGTTTATGTTTTCAAAATCTATGAAGTTTAGTGATTTCCGTTCTTGAGTTCACCCCTATTACTGATTTTCCAACTGTTTTGGTTTTCCGTTAGAATGAATACGTCCAGTCAGATCAGCAAGCTTTCCATTATATAGAGAAGGCTGTTGACCAGGTATATTTTCACAATGCAGATACAAATTATAATGATTCTGAAATGTGGTTCAAAGCCTTACTTGAGCTCGCTATGTTCTAGTTGCATCCAGGTGCTCTTTACCTTCTGGGTTCTGTGTATCTGACGGGAGACTGCGTGAAAAAAGATATGGCTTCTGCGTTATGGTGTTTCTATAGGGCATCAGATAAGGTAAACGAGCTCCTACTACTCCCTACTCAGTTTCAACAATGGATCGTCAACAAGGGATATGCATGTGGGTGGAAACTAAGTACTGGTGATGGAAAAATGGACATTGTTTAAACAAACTTAAATTGCTTTAGTAGTTGTAGATTTTTGTTTTGTAAAAATGGTGATCTTTGAAACGGGCTTAGAAATACTTGATGAGCTATTATGACATTTACATAGACGAGTAAATTAACACTTTCGTATTTCTTGGCTTGAGTAGACACTTTCTTCCACTTCCAAAATGAGTTTTAAGTTTCATGATCCAAAACATGGTTGCATTTTGCCTTTGTAATACCAAACCCTTGTTTCTCCAAATAATTTATTAGTTGTAGCAACTCTCTCTCTCTCTCTCTCGCGTTGGACTAGTGCACCATTTTGCTTTTATTCCTTTTAATATATGCAGGGACATGCTGCTGCAGCTATAGCATTTGGATCTCTTCTTCTTAGAGGTCTGTTCTTCCAACCACGCTTCTTTTGTTTTACGTGAAACTTGGTTTCCACTCATATTCATAGCTGGTGTAACTATGAAGGATGTGTAACTATGAAGGATGATTTGGGAGTTTCACAGTTTTACTGGTAGTTTTTTGCGATCTTTCTATAAATAAAAAAAAGGGGGTTCTGGATAGTGATATTATCACTAACTGTCGAACAAATGGCATGGCTATATTTTATTTTTCTGCATTCCCTCATAGGAGATGACAGTGCGGCAGCACCAAGAATTTACATTTCATTTGCCAATTTTGTAATGATTTTTCTACCCTTAATGATAAAATTGCACGTCTTAGGTGCTGAAATCCCAGAATCTGTGACGAAGTTTGCTTCAAAGAGGGGTCCTTTGGCCAGAAAGGAAAGCATAACAGATCCCATAGAGATGGCAAGAGAACGATTCCAGATTGCTGCGAAAGCCGGGTGTGATCTAGGACTGAGATGGTTGGAAAGACTCGAGGAGGAAGAGAAGCATCTATTGACTGGATCTGAAATGGCCGAACAAACTTAATGAGGGAAATGTCTAGTAATCGGACATTCTACTGACGGGATAGAACTCTTCCAAGATTTCTCGAGACGGAATTGATATGCGTCCATATCAAAGTATGCCACGCCACAATCCGATCCTGTAAAATCTCTACCCTGCATGAAGATTGAATCTTTTGTATACATTCTTCATATTTAATGTATGCCCCATAGTAGGTTCCATTTTTCTACTTTTCCCGGGAGTCAATAACTATTCATAACTATTATACAGCGGGATTAAGTTCGAACTATCATGCAAGCGGGTGGAACACTGCTCTGGCTATCTAGCTTATTCACATTATGAGTCAATCACAGGTATTGACCTCGTCGTTCATGGAGTCACCATCCGTGGATAGGAATACAAACTACAGTGCTCGTGACATCGATGAACTTGAGTACACAAAAGCGAGCATCAAACTTTTTGCAACGGAATACACAATTCGGTGGTATTTCATACAACTGATGGAATGATATATGTATGACTCATTTGAAAGTGTTTTTAATATGACTAAAAGCGCTTTTAGAAAATGTTTTTGGATTTCAAAAGCGTTTGCTTCTTCCATGATGTACTTTTAAGTGTTTTTTCAAGATTTACTTGCACTTTTACTAAGTATTAGTTCCAAAAATATTTTTACTAAATACGCTTTCAGCTATTTTAAAAGCACTACAAACAAGCTTATAAACTCTATCTCCATATGACTTTGTAATTTGTATCATTCGTATTTTGTGATGATGTAGTTGTTCTATAAAAAGGTCTATAGATGTTTTAAAAGTATAAAATACTCAAAAACTTTTTAATCGTCAAATTTCGAATTCAGTTAAAACATTTAGGGAATACGAAACTTCAGAGAGTATTATTGGGGCCACATAGTGTTTAGGACAGCTACTTAGCCAAAAGTCACAACTTGCACGTAAGAGCACTAATAGGAAGGCCTTCTATGGCGATTGTCAGTTGAATCTCCTCTATTGAATAGTAATTGCCTTTAATGAACAATAATTATCTTTTGCATTTCTACTCTTAAACTGAATAACCATGGCAATAGGTAATAAAATATTAGTATTTTTTATTAATAAAAAATAATTTTATTTGTAATTTTGGATAGGATTTTTAACCTGGTCTCGTTACGCCACGTGTTATTATACTAGGATTTCTACCATTAGATTACAGAAAATTTCTACCGTCGGATTACAGAAAATTTGAAATCCAACCCTTTAGATTCTGCCACGTGGCATAACGGTAACATATCATTTTTTTTTTAATTTTTTAAGTCGAAAAACGTGGATTGTTGATCTAGAATCGAACAGCTCAGATTGTGCCATGTCATCTAGCTATTGGGGGAGTTTTGAATTTTTTTTTTTTTTTTTTATCATTGGAAATTGAATGGTCCAGAAAAAAAAGCCATTGAAATCCAACGGCTAAGAGGGTGCCATGTTACACCCAGTAACAACCACTTTCATACTATAACGTGCAGGCCCCACCACCTAAAATATTGTCGGTAATGCGCTCCTATGCACGCGTGTGGTGCACTCACCTGATGCAAAATTTTTTATAGCATGGCTGACGCCATGTTGACATCAACATTGCATCACAAAGCCCTTAGGCACTCGGCCCTTGAACTCCTGCCTACCCTCTCCTATGGGCTGCCCCTTAACCCAATTGCTCGAATGGGCTGGAGCTAGTTTGGGAGGCAATTGGATTGGATTTGCTCCCAGTCCACGGGGCTACCCAGCATGCTGGAAGTGCTCATGGTCGTTGGTTTTCTTAATACAGAAGTTCACTTCGCATTCTTAGCGTGCGTTAGAGCACCAAAACGTCCTACAATTCCCAGCATAGCAACTAGCCACGTCACCACTTGAAAGATATTTTTTGAGAAATGATCGGCCTTGTTACGGTTCTATTGGGAACACGGTGGTACATTACATGTTTTTATGTAAATAGTGGAAAATTTTTATTTTTTAAATTATTAACTTTTTAACACACATATCTCATCATTTGTATAATGACAGGTAGTCTACTATCTTGTATTTCAATCACACTGAAAAATTTCTCTCCAATACGAAAGAGAGAGGATCCTCAAATAACATTCGTTTATTGTATATCGTGCGGTCATAAATCATTGTAAATTTTTTTATTTAAAATTAAATATAAACAGTGCCTGAAAAAAAATTGATCGCATGATATACAATGAAGGAATGTGATTGACGAATCTTTGAAATCCTGTAAAGATGATTCGGGAGGATCGGATTTGGATCCTCTCCTGAGCTAATGGAGAGGATCCTCCTCATTAATCATTCTGAGTCGTTGGATTTTTATCTAACGACTACAATCATTATAACTTTAAAAGGACACCCTATTTGTAACCGTTGGATAAAAATCTAACAATTTAAGATGATTGATGAGAAAGATCTTCTCCATTATCTCAAGAGAGAATCCAAGTCCGGAAGGATCCTCTCTGAATACGTAATACCCAATTAAAAGGGATCCCAGAAAGGCCTCCACGTCACACGAAACCAGGGCCGTTGAGAAAAGCAAAAAAGAATAAAAATCGGCGAACAAAAATTCGCGGGCTCAGCATGCGCGCATTAAATGAACGTGCGAAAATACCATCCATCTCTCCATCGCGCCATCGTGCGAAAATGGTGTACGTATTTCAGAGAGAGAGAGAGAAACAAGAGAGAGAAAGAGAGTGATTTTACTACACACTGTCACTGCAGCCTTTTCTCTCATCGTCTACATCGTGCTTTCTCTCTCTAAAATACCTACACCATTTTCGATATTCGAGCCAAACCTCCGTCCGTACGGCTCCCCGAAACCTTAATCTTCTCTCTCTCTCTACATTTGTATAAGATCTTTCGTTTTATCTCCATTTTTCATCTGAGAATTTGTTTTGCAGAAAAAAACCATCCCAGATGACAATGCCTTGTTCCGATTCCTTAACCGAGTCAAACCGGAACCCGACTCGCAAGCCCTTTAACTGCTACGTAGCTCCGCACCTCCGAAACACTGGCGGCGGCTCGTATGCTTACGGTTACGTGCCCCCAATTGAGTCCACCCAGTACGGCTTTAGGCAAAGCTACACTGGCCGTCCCGGAAAGCAAGCCGACCGGAACGGTCGGGGTCGCGGCGGCGGAGGACGAGGTCGCGGTCACTTTTGGGCACAACCCCCAAACCCGTTTGATAATGTCTCTGAGAAATTTGATCAGCTCAAAGTCACTGAGGAAGAAAGCGGTGACAATGGCGGTATCAATTTCGAAGCCTACGAAGACATCCCAGTGCAGGCGAGCGGCGAGGACATTCCGCCGCCCGTGGACACGTTTCTCGAGATCGATTTGGGCAAGTGTTTGAAGGAAAACATCAAGCGGTGCAAGTACGTGAAGCCCACGCCGGTTCAGCGCCACGCTATTCCGATAGCCATGGCTGGCCGCGACTTGATGGCCTGTGCTCAGACCGGGTCCGGCAAGACGGCTGCGTTTTGCTTCCCCATCATCAATGGGGTCTTAAAGAATGGCGTCGAGCGGTCGCCGGCTCGCGCCGGGGATCGTGCTGTGTGCCCTACCGCCCTCATTTTGTCTCCGACGAGAGAGCTGGCTGGTCAGGTATGTAAATATTTGCTACATTGTGGCCATATTTGAAGTTCATGTGCTAATGGGTTTGTGATTTTAGCTTAATTTTGTTTGGCGTTTGTTTTTTTTTGGGTTGGTTTTTTAAATTTTTGGGCAGATTCATGATGAAGCTAAGAAGTTTGGTTATCAGAGTGGGGTGAAGATTGTTGTTGCTTATGGTGGAGCTCCACTTCTCAGCAGGTCTGTGTCGATTTCAAGTTATTTTCTGCTCTAAAGTTTGTGTCGATTTGTTATCATTGCAAGCAGTATGATGTGTTTATTCATTTCTTGGCTACTGATATAAAGCTAGCTTACTCCATTCGGGCTTACGTGCACTTGATGAAAGAAATATCGTGAATCATATAAACATTTTTGTGTTTAAGATTAGTAAAGTGTAGGGTAGTGAGGGTGTTTTGTCATTGCCGTTTCTCTTTTTGTGTTTTTACGATTGTACTGCTCTATTTTGTTGTAATGTATTTAGATATGTTGATTCGGAAGACTTATGGTATCGTTTTTTGTGTTGTGTTCATTGGTAACTATGGCTTGGTAATCCTTGACTCTGCAGTTGCGTATGCTGGAGAGAGGCTGTGATATTCTTGTTGCAACTCCTGGGCGCTTAGTGGACATGATTGAGAGGTCGCGAGTTTCGCTGAGAAATGTCAAATATTTGGCATTAGATGAGGCTGATAGGATGTTGGACATGGGTTTTGAGCCTCAGATAAGGAGGATTGTTGAACAAATGGACATGCCTTGCTCTGGTGCAAGACAAACGTTGCTTTTCAGTGCTACATTTCCAGATGAAATACAGGTGCACCAATTAAACGTTAATGCTCTTTCGTGTGATTAGATGTTATGCTTGGTGTGTTGGTTTATTCTAGCTGCATATTGTATGATTGTTCTCTTTTAGGTTTGATAATCAATCAAAATCTTGTGGCTAGCGATAAGCATTTACTAAGCATTCATTAATTTGTTTGTGTTTATAATTACCATCTTCTGCAGAGGCTTGCTGCAGATTTTCTGTTAAACTACATATTTCTCACTGTTGGAAGAGTTGGATCAAGCACAGGTCTCATCACACAAAAAGTTGAACTCGTTGAGGATATGGACAAAAGAAGCCATTTGATGAAGCTTCTTCATAGCCACCAGGCTCATGGAGCTCATGGAAAGGTATGATGACAATTTAAGAATTCTCGAGCTGTGACTGTAGCATTGATTTGGCAATGATATTTACTTTTTTATTTTTTTTATTTTTTTTATCGAAGAATGTTCTTAACAATCTTATGGTTTTGGGAAATTGATACTTTTCAAGATCTGATGCTGAGGTTAATATTGTTCGTGCTTCAGGCTGCCTTAACCTTGGTGTTTGTGGAGACCAAGAGAAGCGCAGATTCTTTAGAAAACTGGTTACGCGTGAATTGTTTTCCAGCTATAGCAATACATGGTGACAAAGTGCAAAAGGTTAGATTAACATTTTGTTCTTTATTCCAGATATCTTATTGTTTATATGAAATTGTTGTGGTTATGTGCACCATTTATTCTGTATAGTTATCGAATGTTTTCTGCATTTGTTACAAGTACAATGAGGTTTTGTAGTTGTATGGATTCTTTTGCTGTCTTGCAATTGTCGACATTTGGGGTTTGTTTCAATGTCTTCAAAACTTAGGTTAAACATGTTATTCTGGACTGGTAAAAAAAAATTTATTGTCTGCCCTTGATGCTATCTAAAGTATTATTTGACTTGCCAATTTTGAAGGAGAGGGAGCAAGCATTGAGATCGTTCAAGTGTGGCAAAACTCCAGTATTGGTTGCAACTGATGTCGCTTCGCGAGGGCTAGACATCCCCCATGTTTCCCATGTCATCAACTTTGACCTGCCAAAAAGCATAGATGACTACGTTCACAGGATTGGACGAACAGGGCGTGCTGGAAATTCTGGTCTTGCAACTGCTTTCTTCAATGTCAAGAACCAGCCACTCGCAAAGGGACTCATGGAGCTGATGCAGGAATCAAACCAGGAGGTTCCAAGCTGGCTGAGCGAATATGCTGAGGGCGAATCACAGACTTATAGCAGTGGTGGCAGTCGGAACACTAGGTCTGGTGGCAGTAAGTTTGGTGGCTATGACTTTCGTGGGGACTCCCAATCTACGCATGACAGTTATTATGGTCCAAGGAGCTATGGCTATGGAGATTATTCCGCTGGCACGTCTGCTGCTACCTACAATGATGCTGCTGTTCCAAACGGCTACGGAAGCTATGAAATTATTATTGCTGATGGGTGGGATTAGAGATCTGCAGGAACACCTTGGGTAATATTTACATAGAGGGTAGTAATGTTAATAGATAAAAGGTGCAGAAATAGTTGCTGAAGACTTAGGTTACATGTTGGATATTAAGTGATTAACCAAATGGTTGCTTTTGGAGGATTATGGCTCTTTCTTTTGTTTTCTTTTTTTTTTTTTTTTTTTTGAGTTGGGAATATTCTCTCCCAGATTTACAGAGCAACCACATTTTGTAAAAGTATGATCCAGAATCCCAGTTTAATGGATCAGTAACCCTCTACAAATCTCAATTTTTGGTGTTGATTTTTCGTTGAGATGATATCCTGTTCGTGTTTTAAAATTCATCGATTGGATTAGGGCAGGACGTTTTCTTTCTTCAGGCTGTTTGTTTTTGTGTTATGACTGATGAATATTGAGTACTTTAGACAAAGTAGCCCAGGTGGTGAGGGATGGCGGGATAATGGTGTTTAGTCCTGGTTCTATTTTGGTCAATGGAGATTGGAGATTCGAACTTGGTATCTCGTCCTTTTGAAAAATCTGTTAAAACCCCAAGACGCATCTACTCAGATTGTACATAGTAAGAACATATAAGAAACACAGTTTTTATAAATTTGTAAGTGTGACCACGGCTAGCCAACCCCGGTTTTGTATTTGTCAGCAAGGTGCCCTTGGTAGTCCACACCATGTACAACTAGCAATCAAACTCATTTTCCTCCCCTGAAGACAACTTGAACTTTTCTTGACCCCAAAGAAACGAGTTTGAGAGCGTGATGAAGTAAAGATTACTTTCAGTTTGATGAATGTCCAGCCAAACCCTGTGTATATATATGGACTAAAAAGAAACCACCTAGCTACTTTTTGATGGATGATCCAAAATTGCAAATTCGGACTCCATAAGGGCGCGTATTAGATTTCTTCCTCGTTCTCAGTCAGTATTCGTTTGCATGCTTCGTAGCACATGAAGGAAATCCCAGCAGCTGGGACCAATTTCATGTAGCTCGGCCCTAACCCTTTGTACAGGCCACTGATTCCTTCACTTGCAAGAATGCTCGAAAGAGCGTCAAGTATGTGCTTGTACTGCCTCCCACTGAGAGCCCCAACCTGCATTCTCTTCCGAGCCACCTCAAGCGGGAAAGTTGCACCGCTCGAAATTGCAGCAGCTGCTGATCCGATCAGGAGAGTCGTTATGTTTCCGATTTCCTCCTTTTCGAAAGCTTTCTTGTAAGCTTTTGAGAGGGCGTCATAAGCAAAATAGTTGGCGGCAGCGTATGGAATTACGCCAATTAAACTCGGGGTGAGGCCTCTGTATAGCCCTGCAGGTCCCTCCTGTTGGACAATTTTTGATACTGCGTCGAAAAAGTTATTGTACACTCCTCTCTGCAATCAAGTAAAATATGTGACTTTGAGTACTGATGCGAAGAAAACAAACCAATGAATTCAGTAGTCCTTTCTGAATTTCGGGGTCTGATTTACCTGGATGGTTAATCGTGTTTTTAACAACTCTAGAGGGTATGTACACAAGGTTGAGCTGAATCCGGCAACAGCGCCTGCGATTGATGAAGCGGGGATAGGGATTTTCAGCTCTTCACCAGGTCGAGTTAAGTGCTTCTTCACCGTGTCATAAGCAAATAACTACACAAGACCAGAGTCAGAAATATGAAGTTATACTAGTCGGGTTATGGAACAGATGTTTGTTCTTTATAAAGTTAGAATATCATTATCGCTAACAAAACCCATCGAGATGTTATCAATGAACAAACATTAACGAACATTCTGCATAAAAAATTTCAAGACGAAGATAAATTCTTTGTGTCGAGTATCAAAATTTACACGTACAATTCACGAGTATCAATTCGTGGCGATCGTACCTCAATAGCCTTGCATGGAGCAACCCTGATGACATTGACCAAAGTACCCCTAAACAAGCCCTGCCATCCATCAGCTTCCATGATAGAATGAAACACTTGAGAAGTACTGGAGTGGCGACTGCCCCCCACCATCAAATGCGTCCGTATCGTCTCCAACGGAGCAACCGCCGTCCGCGACACCACTCCCGCCACTGCTCCGCTCAGCAGCCGCCTCAGCGAAGCATTCCCAACCTTTATTTTCAATCTCAAACCCCCACCATTACCATTAATTTTCTGAATCTTCAACAGCTCTTCTGCTTCTGCAACCTCCAGCAATGCCTCTGCCTCCACCAACTCATCAACCCTGCCAATCCGAAACCCGAACCCGGCGTCGACATGTATGTCATGTACGTGGAGCTTAGAAGCTTTGTGGTTTGGTCTATGGAGTTCTGAGGACTCGGTGTGATACCAAATCCTCTTGCAACTTGAACGCTGGCAAATAGTCCACCGGACTGCGAAGGATTATTTAGAGGACTGCGTCGGATTCTAATCCCGGAAGAACAAGAGAATACTACATCGTCGTTTGTATTTCCAGTACCCTGCAATCTTCTTCCACCCATTAATCCAAAAGCTTGAAACTACATAAAGATCAAATCTTTCAGCAGAAAAAAGAGCCCGGGTGGATATAAAATTTGATATTTTTGGAGGAAGAGGAGAGAAACACTTTCTACTTCAGCATTTGTTGTTTCTCTGTTTTCTTTGTGGGTGTGAGAAGAGTAGGGTTTTGTTTGCCAACACTCCCAACTTTTTTTTTTTTTTGTCGACCAACACTCCAAAACTAAGGACAGCCAATTATATTTGATTCTTTTGGGGTACAACACTCCTTTGGAATTATATTTTGTGTTTATTAAAATATAAATATTCAATTGTTTTAGATTTATGACTTTGTTTGCATTTACTAACGAGTAATGCTAGGAAGATCAAATTTTTTAAACCAAATTTACAAATTAAATGATGTGATTGTAGATAATTGAATTATTAACTAAGTATTGATTAACGTGTTTTTTTATTTTTATTTTTTTATATTGATGACACAACATTTGGCTTACAAATTTAATTTAAAATTTTGATTTCCATAACATTATCTTTTACTTACACATATGATATTAATTATTTCATAAACACACATTACAGTTCTTAATCCAATACATGAAAAGAATAAAAATTACAGTATCTCATTTCAATTAGGGTATGCAAGGCATGGATGTCATTCACGTGTTATACCCGAACAACCATGTATGAAATTCACGAGAACATTATTTATTTTATATATGAACAACCAAGATCATTTCCATTCATAATTTCTATCATTTACAATAATTTTTGAATTACGGCTTATCTCATTTCAAATAAGCAGAGCACACCATTGATTTTAACGAGTTAGATTTTCATATTTCAGACAACTCATCCAATGTGTATCTTCGTGGTACATTTGTGTGCTTTTTTTTTTTTTTTTTTAAATTTTATTTTGTAAGATGATTTCTTAGCAGTTTGAGGCCACGAGATTCAGATAGAATTTGGTTGTTGATGTTTCAAATATGTCATAAGTCGGATAAAGTTATATTTTGATTGGAAGACCCTAATCAACTACGTGGCTATGTTTAATACCAAAAACCACACGTCCACAAATTTCATAATCGAGATTATCTGATTCTCTCTGTCCGGAGCCAACGTACCTAAAAATTCAGACTACTAAATTTAAATCTTGCAACTCTCATTAGCCTATTCTACTGGATCACTTTATACAAAAGGCCTGGATCTCTCTCTCTTGAACGGTCCAAATTTCCAAGTCTGTCGACCGGACACAGATATCCGGTTGCGAGGAACGCAACATGCACGCACAATAGAAATTGACCCACTTGAGAGGGAGAGAGAGATTGAAAATATTTCTGCTGAAAAATAAAGGAGTCTTACATAATAATCTTCGATTCCAAATGATTAAACTTGTAAAACCTACATCAAAACTCCACAGCTTGTAAATGTCATGACTAATAACAAAGTCACTTTCCCTTTCCTTTCGATGAAGATCCCTTCTTTAATGGCTTCTTCTGGATGTTCTTCTTCGGTTTTAACGTGCTTGAGGACATCCCCGGCGTGTTCTTTCGCTTCTTGTCCTTCTGACATTGTACATGTTAACAGCCTGTGTCACAAAAATTCAATTAATAAGTGGGACTCAAACTATATGAATACGGCAGGAGAAAACATTTGACAGCGAAAGAGATGAACCTTGTCGACGTTAAATATCTCATGGGAATTCTTAGAGATTAGCTTGTTCAGTACTTTATCTGTTTGCTCCTTCTCTTGTGATTGTTTTCCTTTTCCTTCTACAACCGGCAAAAACTGAAAGCAAAAGCCGAAAGAATAAGGGGCAGGTACTTTATCAGCTTATTGTGATGTGCAACAATTAGTTGAACATGGCTAGGATGAGAATTACATACCTTGCGGAACTTTCCTTTATGTTTAGGAGGCTTTTCACCAGGCAATTTCTTGTCAAACTTACCACCGCTGGCCGTTGCGGTTGCTGCTATTCCAGCTACATTACCCAGTTCATCTTTAGAAAACTTCTTGGCTGCAGACTGGGTTCCTGTTATGGGCAACCGTGTGGCAGCTAGCTGAACATGGCTGTAGAAAAAGTTTAGTTAGATTCTGCGGTGCAATGCAAAAGATACATTCAATGATCACTAATACTTTCCCAAAGAGTGATTTCCACTATAAAGGCTAGCTTATCTCATTTTTCTGGTTAAGGCTCAGCTTATATTGATTTGTAGTTATCGATTGCCCCATTGGATGTCTAAGCAGCTAGGCTTTGAATAACATGGAGTATAAGGACAAACCTTGGTAAAGCACCGACTTTCGCAGCTTGCTTCAAGTTCTGCAACCTATTCTTATCTTGCTTTTCAACTCTTTTCTTCTTATCCTCTCGCCTTTTAGCAAAAGGATCCTCCCCTGGAACTGAAAAAAGTAACAAGCATGGGCAAGATTATTTCGAGTTACCTTGGCAAAGCAAAGCATGCATTTCAGTGCTTACGAAAGAAAATAACTCTTCTGAAAGCATTAAGGCTTTGAATAAAATTACCATCATTCTCCTTCGCCTCAATGATAGGTACACTATTCTCATCATTTGCCCGATCATATCCAAAGCGACGCTTCCAAGTTTCAGTTGGCTCATCATATGCAATCTTGTCTCTTTTACGGTTCTTGATACCTACAATACATATCAAAAGAATGTAACCACCACGTATAAGTTCAGCTTAAGGATATTCCACTTTCTCAAAATCTTAAATCCAACTAACTTTCTCAAGGCCCAAATGCCCACATATGAGAAACCTAGACAAAGTCTTAAAGGGGGGAAGAAGAAAGAAAAAAAGAAACAGAAGAAAGGTACTGTTCGACTCATACAGTAATGACTAACCTTTTGTTTTGGCAAAAGTTTCCCATTTTGTTGGAGGTTTAGGCACTGGCAGCTGTAGAAAACAAAAGAATATGCCATTGGCAGTCAGATGTTTGTGCTAAGAATACAATAGCAACTCTTAGTTCGGTTACAGAAAAAAAATAAAACCAGCTGCATCAACAGCCCGTTTGCATACGCTAACATTCTAGTCAACCAATTTACATGAGAGGAACCGTAAATTGGCAGCACGACAAGGGGGATCAACAAAAATCTCGACAATTACCTAAACAGCCTTAAACCTTCTTTTAAAACAATAGATTGTGAAGCACTATACATGTTTTCACTATCGAATGCTTATATACATGATCAAACGTATTAAAGAACGTCGTTGGAGGATCGTAAACTAAGACGAATGACTTACATGCTTCTGTCTAGGCAGTTTAGTTTCGGGACGCGGCAACTGCACAATGGGACCGTCTATGTCCTCAGTTGAAGGTAAGTTGAAAAGGCTATTCGCAATAGCTTGAACCAACTCGGTCCCTTTCGTTATACATTCCTTCACCAATTCCTCCCTAAATACAATGAAAAAGACAAATCAGATTTTCACCCACTGAACAAAAACCTATCAGGTAGAAAATTCACTATTCCACAAGACTTCAACTTTACAGCTGGGATTTCTCCTGAATAAAAGTCCCAATTTCCAAAATTAAATTTTCAATTAGTTTCTGGACAGCAATAATATAAAGCCCAAAAGTATAATATTAACACAAAATAGAGATAAATTGAATAATTAAAGAAAAAAATAACCTGGAGGAGGGGATGGAGGGGAAGCTGTGATGAGGGTCGAAGGCCATGAGATTACCCAGATCGACTTGAATCTGCTGCTGCGGCGTCTCCATTGCCGCGACCTCTTTTGGTTTTGCAGCTCGCGCCTTGAAAGCTGAAGAAAGAAGAAAGCTAATCACTTCAGGTTTAGGGTTTTTGTATAAAAACTAAACGACACAAAACGCGGCGTTTCTCTGTTTGCCGTATACTCCAAATACACACTAGATTGGGCATATCCAACCAATAACAAGGTGCCACATGGCTTGGGACTTTTCTACGTCGTTACATGATTCATTTAGAACATCATTAGCTTGATGTCCCGATTTCATGTTAGGAGTCCTTCTACCATAAATCGATGTATAACATATGCTACTTTTAATAGTTCAATCCACTCGTTAAGTTCTTTAAAAATTTTTAACGCACATTCATTTATTGAATTTAACAATGTATGTCATATGAACCTATAATTAAAAGGTTTTACATAAACTAAATATGACCTTGTCATGTCAGAACAAGAAATGACGCCACGTATTCTAAATTTTTTACAAAGAGTTGCATGATTAATTTAAACTACCGTCACCTTGACTTCTGCGTTTCATATAACTCTTCCTGCGGGAAGCTGGGCCAACTGAGACAACTGGGCTTTTTTTTTTTTTTTGGATAAACTACAACTGGGCCTTTTGTTGCTACCGTTTTTGGGCTTAATATACGTGGGAAGTAGTAACGACTTTTCAACCGTCCTCAAAGCCACATGAAAGTACCAAACTATAAAAATACAATAACTTCCACTCCCCCACTAATAAATCAATTTTCCCCAAAATCCTCCACTGTGTCGGACTCTGCCCCAAATCCCCCGCACCATGAAACCCTAATTCGATCAAAATTTTCAATATCCAGTAATTGATTTATACCAGCACACATCTCCTTCAGATCCATCTCACTTGTAAGTCAAAATTTCCCAAAATTATTTCAACTTTTGTTCATTAGTCAAATCAAATTGCTGGAATTTGATTCTTTGTAAATCGATCGAATTCAATTTTCTATGGGGTAATAGTTTTCTCGGAAAATATTTGCTGAGAATTCTTTGTTTTTGTCTTCTGAGAAGATTTCGAGATGGACGGAAACAAAGACGACGCGTTGAAATGCTTCAGGATTGGGAAAGATGCTTTGGAAGCTGGGGATCGAAGCCGTGCCGTAAAATTCCTCACGAAAGCTCGCCGTCTCGATCCGGCGCTGCCCATCGACGATCTCTTAACGTCGATTGACGGCAATTCCAATCCTCAATCGGGTTCGGATGCTGGTGGGTCCGCCAATGGGCCATCTGGGTTGGGTTCAGCTAAGCCGTTCGACCAACCATCGCTTCGCCAGAGGGCTACGGCAACTGGGTCGTCGTCATCGAAACCGTCGGCCGGTGCGTCGTACACGGAGGAGCAGATTGCGATGGTGAGACAACTGAAGAAGAAGAAGGATTACTATGAGATTTTGGGGGTGGAAAGGAGTTGCACTGTTGAAGATGTTCGAAAGGCTTATCGAAAACTGTCATTGAAGGTTCATCCCGATAAGAACAAGGCACCGGGAGCTGAGGAAGCGTTTAAGTCCGTTTCGAAGGCGTTTCAGTGTCTGAGCAATCAAGAGAGCAGGAAAAAATATGATGTTATGGGCTCGGATGAGCCGGTGTATGAGAGACGTGCTACCAACCATGGAGCACATGGATTTATTGGATTTAATGGCTTCTATGATGCGGATGTCGATGCTGAGGAGATCTTTAGAAACTTTTTCTTTGGAGGAGGAATGGCTCCGGCAACCCAGTTCCGGGGATTCAGTTTTGGGCACAATGGAATGGGGCAGAGGGGCGGTGATCATGGCTCTGGTGGTTCCCATATTCGGACTCTAATTCAGTTGCTGCCTGTGTTGCTTATTCTGCTTCTCAACTTCATGCCGTCCTCTGAGCCTATACATGCCCTCTCGAGGTCCTATCCCTACGAATACCGCTTTACTACGGAGAAGGGTGTGAATTTTTATGTCAAGTCGACCAAGTTTGAGCAAGAGTTCCCACCAGGTACCTCGGAGCGTGTCAATCTAGAACACCAGGTTGAGAGAGAATACTTCAACATTCTTTCCCAGAATTGTCGGCTTGAGATGCAGCGCCGCCAGTGGGGATTCATTCGCGAAACACCACATTGTGACATGCTGCAGCAGTTTCAGAATGCAGCTTAAACTCTTGAACCAAAGGTCCATTTTATCTTGCCATATTTTTATTTTAGATGATGTAAAATTCTGTCTTTCTAGGGAAAACTAGTGAGGAATTGTGCAATAAGTTATTCTATGCCTTTGTTCTCTTTGGATACAAATTATAAGCATTAAAACACATGATATAACATCGTGCTTCTCCCTGTAATACTTGACCAGATGTTACGTTTTTACGGTTTATGTTGATAATTGCGCAAGCTAACATTCGATGTGTGATCAGGTCATGGATATGTATCTGTTGATCTCCTGTCTCTAGCTATGTGTTATTGTTGATACTTTCTCTTTCTAAAACAACTCCGACTTTGAACTTTAGAGTGATATGATAACTAAGTTTCTGAAAGGTTGAATCACCAAAAAAAGCCATCTCGTATGCATGGTGTTTTCGTGAGTTTTAGTTTATGCCTCATTTCAGAACCCTTTTACCTATTCTTCTTTCAGTGATATACTGCTCCGGTGACGACAAAGTTTTGTTTGCTAGTTGAAGACACTACGTGGTTGAATCTTGGTTTCAATTGTAGAACTTTGAAACAAAAATTATAGTTCTCTTCATGGTTTATCTTTCTTTTCTTAATATATTTATTTCCATGTTACCTTTGTGACACTGAATATAGTATGACACATATACACATAATCGAAGGAAAGTTTTTGCTTAATTTTACTTTTGTTCCGTGCTGGTGTGAAGTTTGGGGCTAGTCCGGTCTAATCTCTGGTGTTTGTGTTGATTCATTGTTCATTTTTGTACTGTATGACTTGGCTTTTGCATGATAGAATCTAAAAATGTCCCCTTGTTTTCGAAATCATAACGTGTTTTGGATTCTTGTTTTCTGGTGCAGGTTGCCTGTTTGGCGCCAGTCTTTCGGTATTCTTGTTGCGGACCATAGCTGCAAATTTTGGAGTTCTACGCAATGGAAATTGACAGTATCTGCGGCCTGCGCACGTTTTATATTCGTTAGTCCTATATATGATGCACCATGAGTTTGTGTAAAATTGTCGGTGATTTAACTAGTGCTTGTTACGCATGCGTAACCACGGTGTTACATATCATGTTCAGTACATACGCTTCGTTTCTTCTCAACAAAAATACGTACGCTTCGTAGAAATCCTTGCAATTTTTATTGTACTACATTACTAGTTTAAGAAATAAAACAAGTAATGGGGACTTTTGGTTTCCCAGTTGTAGAAATGGAGCCGGTTTGGGATTTACTTATGCAAAACCGAAAAGTGCTTATGAGCGGAAGTGCTTCTTACCAAAGCGGTCCCAAACGTCCCTCACTCGTGACAAGAATTTGACTCAGCATTCCCTTTCGTTTAATTTCAAAAAATGAAGAAGGTGTTCATCGAGCCATTGATTGCAACATTGTTTTATTATTGGTGCGATGCCTTACTACGATACCTCTCTCTCTCTCTCTCTCTAGTATCTGGCTATCCCTAATCCTTGGAGGTTATGACCAGCAATCCCAGCGCCCCTATGAGAATGTACTGCAAGAAAGAAACACACGATATTACTGCAAAACAACGCTTACTTCTAATCGAATAACAAGAGATTCCGCCAACGCGTTATATAAAATTACGTTTCTGGGTGAGTAACAGTGCACGATTAGAAGCACATCTGAAGAATGTCTGCAACTTAAGGATGTGTAAGATACACACAAAGAGACACATGTTCTGAATTATAACAAAAGCAAACCTTGATTATAGGCTTTTCTGTCATGATAATTGTCACCCAGCCAACATCAGGCAAAAACCTGCAGGGAAACAAAAAATGTGCGTAAATATGCAAAGCATGTATATTGACGAGTACGTATTTTTTATATGTATACATGGCAGAAAATGACCACATTCTGCTTATGGTGAAACCTTTTCTTTTCAAGGACAACACCGAGCAATCACAGAAGGTTTGATAATATGGTAAAGGCAAAGAGGCAAAGCACAAGCGAAAATCTCCCATGTACAACTCAACCTTCATAGAACCAAATAATTTTAACATGCATGAATGCGTGCAGAATCGACTATGGTAAACCAGCTATATTAGTGTATACGTGATGTTAGATGCATCGACGTTCGAGTCATGTCTCTGCATTGTTATTTCAAGTTGTTAACTTATCTAACAGCTTCCTATAAAGGATATACCTAACAGCTTAAAGAAAAAGAATTTGAAAATATGAAAGAAGAACACCCAACAGCTCACCCCATGATATGGCGTCTGTGCAACCACTGCTGGCCCTGAGCATACAGGCCTCTGTCATCGTCATCGTTATTGTCTCCTGCAAAATAGCAAACGAAGCCACTGTTACTAATCATACATCTTAAGCACGCATCACAAGTGATCAAAACATATTTGAATCCTCTAACTTTATCACATGCAAGCGCAATTTGCCATCATCTAATGACTTCAAGATTTTGCTTCACTTCCTTTCTTTATAAGTTATATGAACAGCTGAACTGTAAATAATTTACTGGGAACAGGCGACATCAACACAAAGATTAAAATGGTCTAATCAATCTGTTTATAAACAAAATAGTACCTTTTGTGAGGACATAGACTTCTCCGGTATCTTTCTGCTCATGAACCTAACAGAAAATGGTCATTAGCATTAAACAGATTCAACAAAGATGAAAGGATATGCTATGATGTCCCAGGGCACCCTTTTGCTCAGACGGTTAGTTTCATCCAGATATTAATATTCACCCATGATTCTTATTTCTTACCTTAATTACTCGATGAACAATTGGAATATCACGTCCCTGGAGAACAAGCAAAAGATATGTAAGCAGCAGTACAAACTACAAACACAACCAAAGACATACATAAGCCAGTGGCCTGGCCAAAAAAGTACATTTGGAATTATTGTTAAATTGAAAAGCAGCCCAATAATTAGAAACTGAATTTCAGAGCGGCGATACTGCCCAGTGCCATTCTTCTTTGTCAAAACAGATACTCTATACCAATGAACCAAAGAATTTCTTGACACTTTTGGAATTACCATTGATGCCGCACCACTTCCAGCAGTGAACACTAATCATCCAAATCTTGATCCAAAAAATTTCAGAAAAAATGAAAATAATAACAAACATGTGATACTAAATGATGCTCGTATCCATGGACTGCACATATAAGAAAATTTAAAATGAATGAACCAGAAGAGGAATAACATAAAAGAGGACATACATCCACATTAAGCACCACGATTTCTCCTGCCCGAATGGGATACTTGCTCACACGCAAGAACAAAATATCACCCTGAAAGACATCATCATGTCAGCGAACAAGTGAAAAAGAGCAAATGAAATTTTTGTGCATATTCGATGGTACTATGAGATACACCAAAACTTAAATGAAAAGCAAGATGGGTCAGTGTAACAGTTAAGCACGCTACATACTAAATTAAAAGGTGCAACTGTATACAAGATTCTATCAGACGGTATATATACGAATGTACTAGTATAGTGGTATTTCCCTTGAGATTGAGGTGCTACGAGGCCTAGCGGATATGTTGAGTTGATTCGTTCAATGGGAGAATGTTTCTTGATTTCGGGTCGTTTCAAGTATTGACATGTTTAATGAAGCACCATTACTAGATCAAGAAGGGTTTAGGAATGGTCCTTGTTGCCCCAGTTGAAGCAACTCTTCCTTCTAGAACCATGTTACCGTGGTATCACTTGTAAACTTCCAGTTATAAAACACAGTGAGTAATTGTTCAAACCAAGTAAAATGCACAATCTACATGCCAAATTTAACTTAAATCCCTGAACTTTTTTATTGAAACATGATTGATTGACACTTCTGGACTAAAATAAAAGGCTTAAAACACATAAAAATCATGGGTATTGAAATAAAAAACAGAACTTTTACAAAGCAAGTGAGCTCAACTCACCCTTGCAAAGCCAGGCTCCATGCTTTCAGATAGTACAACCACCACAGGCGATTCACTCCCACTCATACATATCAACCCCTTCCAAATAATCAATGCCGACGTCACAATCAAGCCTGAAGCATTACGTCAAACACTTTAGCTGCTGCAATCTTTCAATGACACCCAAAAAAAGCCACTTGAAACCCCCAAAAAAACCACTGAAACATATATGCATGGACACACACATAGATATTTAAATGTGTGGTATACATATACGGACCGATAGTGAGCGCTTGGGAGGGAGCTTGTCTGATCTGAATGGACTTGATGGAGTCCAGGGTCTCCCCGAACCACCCCCATTGCTTCTGATTTCTGAACAACGACGAAAACAGAGAGATTACGGCGTGTAAATTGTAAATTCAATGCCGTTGCCTGCTCGCAGAGGAACTAGAATTTCGTAGTTGGATTCAGACAATGACTGCGGTGTTTGTCACCCATCAAATCATCTTTCGCCACCTGGACACGGACAGCCAAATCACATTTTTCTTTTTGGGAAAAAAAAGAAGAGGAAATAAGAAAAATGAAAAAAAAAAAAATTCAATAACTCAACCGATTCTCTATCCCGTATTACACGTTTCACAGAATCATGAAACACCATGAGTTTTATGAGTGAGTGTCCTACGGTGAACAGTTATGATTGAAGGATCTTTGGAATCCTCACAAAGAGAACCTAGCGAGAATCCTCTCTCGAGTTTTATAAGAATCATGACCACACAATAATCTATTTTATGTGAGAGTTGTCGAACTTTGTAAGTTTGTCGAAATATTTTTTCTTAAAAATGCTCAACCGATTGCTCTTTCTATACGGATTAATTTGATTATCGTTTCTTGTAAAAGGTAAATTTAAACCACATTATTATTAACCTATTTTGAAGTTTAATCGACTCCCCCATCATTTAGTGTAAAAAAAAATATTGTTTGCCAAAAAAAATTGATCATGGACTAATCGCTCTTCTATATGGATTAAATTGATCATATGTATTCAATTTAGTTATCGAGTTTACATATAGTGTATTTCTGGTTGTTGTTTAATTCTATAAAATTAACATATACGCAATGAAAGTCTTTATTCAAATACTTAATTTGTTAGTAGTAACTGAAAGTGTTGAATTGAAATAATTTCAATACCGCTTCTAAATAAGTAAACAAATTATAAATGACTCCGAAGTGGTAGAAAAACTTTTCAATGGGATAAAAAACACCAGAATAATATCTCATACACTTGCGAACCAAACGTTAAAGTTGAGATAACTTCTTGATAACATTACAATTAAAAAAAAAAAACATTTCAAACCCAATATTTTAGAAGAAAAGAAACTCAACTTACTTCGTAATGCCAAATAAATTTTACAATTAAAAATCAATTAAAACATAACAAGTGAATAGATGAGAATTATTTATGGGCTCATTTGAAAATGTTTTTAAAATGATTGGAAATGTTTTTGGTGAAGATGTTTTTATAATCAATTCTTAGTAAAAATGCAAGTGAATCCTGGAAAGCACTTAAAGCACTTCCAGGAAAAAACTTAGTTCTTTTAGTCATTTTAAAATTATTTCCAAACAAGTCTTATAGTTCTCGAAGTGTTCATTCGCTTAATTTATTATAAAATACAATCAAAATAGACCTAAAAATATGGACCAGTCCAAAATCAACAAGGGATTAGCCCAATGTTCCACAACGGGCCATCAAACCCAAGTGCATTTAGCTCTGTATAAACGACGGCGGCCCAGAAATCTCCTCTATAAATACCCCCGCAGTAGACGGTAAACGCTCTCCTCCTTAAACCCTAATTTGGTGCGCAACAAAAACCCTAGCCTCTCTGCACCTCGAATAGACGACGACACACAATGGTACCCTCAAGTTCTTCATCTCTGTTCTTCTCTTAGGGTTTTCGATCGATCGATTAGGGTTTATGAATTACTAATTTGTTTGTGTTTGATTGTAAATGCAGACCGGAGAGGCAGTGAACCCGAAGGCGTACCCGTTGGCCGATGCGCAGCTGACGATCACCATACTCGATCTGGTTCAGCAAGCTGCTAACTACAAGCAGCTCAAAAAGGGCGCGAATGAAGGTACTCACCCGAATGCTGCTTCTTTTTAATCCATTTTTTTATTGTTTTTGTGTCAAATTTGGGACTTGGAGTTTGACATTTGGGTTGTGATTCTTTTCAGCAACTAAAACCTTGAACAGGGGTATTTCGGAGTTTATAGTGATGGCGGCGGATACTGAGCCTCTGGAGATTCTTCTTCACCTTCCCCTGTTGGCTGAGGATAAGGTACTCTTTCTCTGGGGCTGAGTTTTTCGTATTCTGAATGCTTTATTATTTGTTTGTGAGTTGGAATTTTTGGTTGGTTGATTGGGATAGTGTTGATTCTCATATAGGGGTAGTTCAGTGACATATTCAAGTGCCTTTGTTGTTTGTTTTTCTACACTTTTTGGATAAAGTGTTTCGTTTTTGGCTCGATAGTTGGCGTATTATTTGTCCGTTGTGTTGGTTTGTGTAGTTTCCAAAGTGTTTGATTTTCCAGTTTTCTAGTAGGCATGACTGATTTTATTTACATCTGTTGGTTGGGCTGTGTTCAACGGCTTTACATCGAGGCACCAAAGATCATATGACTGTTTCATTTTAGAATGTACACATCCCATATACGACAACCTTTTAAGACTTGATAGTTGGCTTATTATTCGTCAGTTGAGGTGGTTCGTGTAGTTTCCAAATTATTTGATGTTCCATTTTTGTAGTAGGCGTTACTGATATTTGTACCCAAACCAGACACATTTACTATATACGTTTGGTTGGTGCTTGTGGCTGTGTTCTACGGCTTTGAATTGATGCACTAAAATCTTATGTCTGTTTCGTTTTAGATTGTACACATTTCATATGCGACACTGTTATTAATAAGCATCACGTGGTTATAGACACGTAACGCCATGCCCTGAGACAGTAGCGCACTCTAAATATCGTGTGTCTGTTTGATTTTGTACTGGAAATTTAAAACCCTTTTATTTGCTGCTTCTCTCCTAGAGTCTCAGGTATGATAAACTAGTACACAACATGTTATAAACAGTCTACTTGAATTTGTGCAGAATGTGCCCTATGTGTTTGTCCCTTCGAAGCAAGCACTTGGACGAGCATGCGGTGTCACAAGACCTGTCATTGCCGCCTCTGTGACAACAAACGAGGGAAGTCAATTGAAGTCACAAATACAACAACTCAAGGTACTCTTCATTCTAGTTTTAATCTACAATTTCTGGATTTGGTTCTGTATTCTGAACATCGTATGTGTAAAAATTCAGGATGCCATTGAGAAGCTCCTTATCTAAACCATTTCGGAGTGCATACTCGGTGTGATGGGCCTCTCGGACTGTAGCGAGAGCCTTCAGAGGCTTTGACTGGAGTTGTTGTGTACTAGGAAATCCTTTAATGTTGACTTTGTACTAAAGTTTTGTTTTTAATGAACTGCTAGGCAAGCTTGAATCTGAAATATACTTGGATGAATTCAAGATGAGTGTTGCTGTTAACTACAAGCTTATGTAACAACTTGCGTTGAGTAATTGCCTTGTTCTTCGGTTGCTATTTCAGAGAGATCATTAGTAATGCTTTACTCTTCTGTGTTTATTTGGTAGTTGAATGTCGGGCTCTTTCGGCTGAATGAGCTCCCTCGCTAGAGGCTATTTTTGGTTAAAAACCGTTGTTACCGAGCATTTCTGCGTTCAAATAGAGCTCAAGTAAGAACACTCCCTATCAACGGTCTTGGGTTTAGGGCAATTGAATTTCCCAAAATTTTACCTAATGCTTGTGGACTCGTGAACACAATTACAACTTGTTGAAGGTCGCTTATCAGAGTCAGTGCTGTAATTTGGTTCAAAGAAGCACTAAAACTTCTGTGAAAACTAGCAATTTTACCCAAAAAAAAACAAATAAAAAAAAAAAACTTCTGTGAAAGCTTCGGGTAGAGGTGTCAAACAGCGTCATCTAGTAGGGCACTTATCATAAAGTAGTAGGGTGCTTCCTTAATGTTCTCATGTGACCACACGCTGGTCTCTCTTACTGTTTTAGCTAGGTAGTCCTATCAAAGTTTTTTGCAGTCGTGTACACAATCATCGTAAAAAATGTAGGTGTTAAATTAGTAATTTCAAGTAATCAAAGTCAAAAATTTCAAGAATCCTTGCTACAATTCGAGAGAAAACACCTACATGTGGAAATCATGTGGCCTTCGCAGGCGCAGTTGGTGATATACTCGGAAAGAGTAGATTGCATAATCATTCACACAAAAAAAAAAAAAAAAAAAAAAAAAAAAAATCTTAATCAGTTTAGTACTATGAGTTATTATATATTTTATTATTAATTATAGTCTTTCGTATTGATTTATCGGTGCATTGATACGAACACGACCTAGATATAAATAAATAAAAGTGAACAGGAGCAATTGGCACCGCTAAAATGCTTCAAAGACTGTCCAAGATATATGTTATCTTAAAGATGAATTTCCCTCTCCTTTTTCTTTAAACTTTTGCTACAAAAGAATAATTAGAGCACACAATCATGAGTTGCTTTGGCCTCAAATGTTTCACATGTACATATTCAAAGCCCTCACAGTCAGTGAGTTCATCTCCCACACATTCTCCCTCAAAACTTTCATCTCCAATCCTAAGCATTTCGCCATTCTCCAAATCTCTTCGGAAAGCGGGTGAGACGTATCGCCCGATGAAAACGGATGCAAAGACAAGGAACCATCAGCAGCATCACCACCACCAGTGTCCACCCAGCTAAACCCAACTTCCTTTCTCACTCCCCTATCTCTCATCCCTTTCCGTACTTTCGCCACCATTTCCCAGTCCCCTTTCTCAGCATACAAGTTTGACATCTGCACGTAAGCACCTGACTCCGTCGGTTCCAATCCCATCAGCGCGTTGGATACTCTCTCACCCATCTCCACATTCCCGTGTATCCTGCATGCCCCGAGCAGGCTTTGCAGCAGTGAAAACCCTGGCTGTCCTGGCATCTGACTGATCAACTCCTCCGCTTCCTCCAGTTTCCCTGCCCGCCCCAACATGTCCACCATGCTTGAATAATGCTGAGGAGATGGCTCAATCTGATAGTCTTTGATCATTGAGTGAAAGAGATGACGCCCGGTCTCAACCATTCCCTTTCTGCTGCAGGCAGCTAGTACAGAAAGAAATGTGATTGAATCGGGTTTCACCCCTTCTCTTACCATCTCCTCGAACAATTCTATTACTGAGTCACAGTCTCCATGCGCAGCATATGCAGATATTATTGCAGTCCAAGCAAACTGACTTTTGTGAGGCGTTTCGCTGAAAACTCTTTCGGACTCACTAATACTTCCTCGCTTTGCATACATGTCAAGAAGAGCACCTGCGATGATCGGGTCAGTCACCGATCCAAGTTTGATTAAAAATGAGTGGCATCGTTGGCCATACTTCAGAGATATATCGTGAGCATTGCCGATTGCGCTCAAGACACTGCCAAATGTGTAATTGTTTGGCGTCGCCTCCATAGTTGCTACCAAGAATGTTTTGAGAGCATCCTGGCACAGCCCGTTCTGAGCATACCCTGAAATCAAAGCGTTCCACGATATGATTTCTCTGCATTCCAACTCCTCGAAAACTTTGATGGAGTCCTGCATGGACTCAAACTTAGCATACATTGTGATAAAGCTGTTGCAAACATTATCCTTAGACAAAAATCCAGTCTTTATGCAAAATCCGTGAATCATTCGGCCTTCTTCCACCTGCTTCCCAATCGTTACAGCATGGATTAGCCCAACATATGTAACATCATTTGGATATACTCCATCCAGTCTCATTTCATTAAACAGAGAGATGGCATCTTCTTCGTCTATAGAAATCATAGTCGTCCAAGAAACTACATTGCGATCGTTTGTGTACTGAAACACCAATTTTGCATCTTCAGTATCCTCACACTTTGAATATGTCGAGATCAATACATTACAAACTGAAACATGCTTTCCGTATCCTGATTTTATAGTCACGCCATGTATCTGTTTCCCGAGTCCTAAACTCTGTTCATGACCGCAAGCTGAAACTGCACTGGTAAATGAGACATGATCTAACTCCACCCCTTCTCTCATCATCTCAATAAAGGCCAAAACCGCTTCAAGCCCGTGATTTCCCTCTTGCGAATAACCTGATAGTATTGCATTCCATGAAACCAGATCCTTATTCCGCATTTCATCAAACACGCTCCTAGCTTCTATTAGATGTCTCTGCCTTGAATACATACTTATGAGTGCATTCCCAACAAAAACTTCACAATCCAAACCAGACTTAAGTATGAGAGAATGAAGCTGCCATCCAAACAGAAAGTCCTCATGCTCCGCACAAAAGGAAAGTATGGTTGTATAAGTCACCGGATCAAAAACAACTCCATTCAAGTTCATCCAAATAGCAAAACTCAATGCACCCTCACTCGACCTGAACCCCGAAAGAATTGTATTCCAAGAAACTATATCCTTAAAACACATCCTCTCAAAGATAAATAACGCACTATCAAACTCTCCAGCTTTAGTGTACATACTCATCAAGGAATTCAAAACCGTAACATAAGAAGCAAACCCAGAAGAAACCGCAAACCCGTGAATTTGGCACCCGGGTTTGAGGTCCCCTTGACAAGCCTTGACAGCAAGGGTAAGGGTAACTTCATCGATATTCTGTGACGAACATAACTGAACCTGCTCTCTGAAGACGCCGAGGGCTCGACCTGGAAGGTTTCTGTGTAAGTTGTTGAGCATAGCGTGGTTAACCGATGCTGCTGCGTTTGGTTGGGGATTTTGGTCGAACAGTTGGTGCTCATGTTTGAATGAGTGGAAGTTAGAGCATGTCGTAAACCGTTGGTTAGGTATTCGATGGAGGGCTTTGAAATTCAGTTGGCGGGTAATCATGGGAAATTGACAAACCGCCGACTGTAATCGGAAACTAGCATTTGGCAGAGAACAGAGGGCAGATCCTTAAACCTTGTCCAAGCCTAAAACCCTGTGTTTCACTTTCTTCTTTTAATATGAAATGGGCCTTTTGTTTTTGGTAAGATGTAATAAAACGGGCTTTTATAAATGATTTGGTAGCCCATTGGGTTTTAGCTTGCCCACGCCAATAACCATTCAAGCCCTAATCCAAGATGAATAATGATCCGACAATCTATGGACATAAATAAATACGGTGTATGCGGGAATCATTTTCCAATATACTTGTATGAATTTTTCAAGATGTAAAACTGGCAACATTGCTGGCTCCCGCTCTAATACAAATGTCTCACATATATGGGACTCATTCTGATAGTAATGTGATTATTCTTTTTTGTGTCTAAATAACACTATTTCTTTTATATTGGCTTTTCATCCACGTGACGTACTCTTGGCTTCTAGATCAGCGAAAATCTAAGTAACACATTATGTGACGGAAGCTAACATTGCAATAAATCTAATTTTGAGTAAGCATGTAGGAGGTGAAATGTAATTTGACCATTGCTTTTAGGGATTGAGACAGAAGATATATGTTTGTTATTAAATGTCTGTTGTGATTGAGTATGATCCTCTCTACCTGTATAGAACATGAAAGGGCAGCAGCTACACAATAATAACTTTATCTATCTGGTTCTAGAATATGAAGGCAGAGTTGGTACAATGCTAAAAAATATTTATATGAATGAATGCATAATTGATGGGACTACTTGAAAGTTGTACATAGTATACATATATACACACCGGCAGATTTATGATTTGAATTTTTTGGGGTTCTAATGTTAAAGGTTCAAGTTTTTAGATAGAAACTTAGTAAAAAGTGTACAAATGTCGATATCTATTGTCTATATGTCAATAAATATTGACATTTGCTGAAACAATATGATGAGTGTTATAGAGAGCGTTTGTCGATGCAACTTGCCAATATATGTTTAGTAGATATTACATCAAATGCTTAGTGAGCACAAAAAGATATATGTACCAAACATTCGGAGAGTCATTGAATGACCTTTACATGCTTGTTTCCTGGCCTCTGGGTGGTCTTGGGATCATCTTGATGCCAAAATACAACCATTATATTGAATATATGTATACAAGTGTGTTTAAGCGCTAACTAATCAGTAGCTTAATAAGATGCTAACCAGTCACTTTTTTTTAATTACAAATTTAAAAATCATCCTCGTAAAATCATACAAATCATGCAGTATATTTCCTCTTCCTCTCCAAATTGGTAGGTGGGGCTGTATGGTGAAACCAGATTCAAACAGTTGTTATTAATTAGTGGAATCCCACATTGCCACATGCCATGTTCAACGCCAGGCTGACAAACCGATCACATGTATTATTATACCTTTTCGTCTCTTTAGTTTTGACTAATATATGAAAGAATGCAGACAAACTCAATGAGAGTATTTTGTTGACTCAATCGAGTTTAATTTTTTCTTAATTCGGGTTTTTTTTTTTTTTTTTTTGAACAAATAATATTATGTACTTTAATGAAGAGAAAGTGTGCTTAGCCTCACAATGAACTAGCAATAATATGATTCAAACTCTCATTTGACGAGAATCAAACCTAAAATCTCTTACTTATAAATAAAAAAGAATAC